TTTTTTTTTTTTTTTTTTTTTGAGCTACGGTCTTCCCTGTTGCCCAGACAATCCTCAAGCTGCTGAGCTCAGCTGATCCTCTTGCCCTGGCCTGTGGACCACTGTACCTGGCCTTGTATCTTATTTTCTTCAAGAAATATTTCTAGATTCTTTTGTGTAATTCTCTCATTTAGTCCTTCAAACTACTACTATCCTGTGTCGCACTGCCACTTTAAAATAATTTCACCATATTCCTATGTAACTAGCTTGTTATACTTCAAGTGTCTAAATAAACTTTGTACTCCCTTTAAGAACTGTTATTATCAGTTCCCAAATGAACTGTGTATAATGCTGCCAAATGCCTGGATAAGAGATTGTTGATACTATATAAAGTGCTTTTTAAAATGGTAAACCAGAAAATTTTTCTGTGTTAGTTTTTTTCTATGAGAGAAAATACATTGGAATCTAAGTCATATTTTATTAAGAATGTTTCTATGGTTTCTCAAACAAGAGTTTTAAATTATTAATGAGCTAATCTTGGCTATGTGTTTGCCCCTTTTACATGAGATCCTAATGATGAAATTCTCTATATTTTCTTAAATGATATGTTATAAACTAATGTCATAATACTCCAGCACATCAAAGTAATAAATAATCATATATGCTACGAAATACTAATTTCAAATAATTAGGATCCATATATTACACACATAAAAGTATATCTCAGGGTATATATATGCATATCTAACTGGAGCTATCTGTAAGATCTTACTACGGATTGCTGTGAGTTTGAGGCCAGCCTGGGCTACTTGGCAAATTCAGCAAGACTGTCAAAAAAAAAAAAAAAGCATACTTATGTTTAACTGAAAATAAAGTTTTTGTTACCTTTACAGAAATTACAGGCCAAAAGGCGACTGATGCAGGTAGTTTTACTACTCTTAAGCAATTGTATCTTCATTCATTTTGAATCTGTACTGCCTACAAATGACTGTCCATATTCACATGGAGTGTTGTCCTTCCAACTAATCTTTCCAGGCTCTGGTTTTTCTCTTAAAGCAGTATTGCTATTGCTGAAAGCTTCCTACAACTTATCTTTGAGAATAACCAATGTTAAATCACTCAGGAGACTTAGGCTTATCACAGCCATACATTAATTTTGATTAGAGTCCCAACTTTATTATGGATCTGTGTGCTTAAGACGTCAGGCGAGGCTAAAAGTGTTTTGTGGCTTGTGAATCAAATCTGCCCTCAGAAAATGAAGATTCTCCGTGGTGAAGTAGTCTCAAAAATAAGCAATTACAGGTAAAGATTTTTTTAAAAATCACCCCAGGCCCCTGAGTGAACCAAGTGTGCAGAAGCCTCTTTGAGGAGTCACCTTGTTTGAGTGTAAAGCTTCTGGGTTTTGTTTTTGAAGGTTGTGTACGTTCTGGAACCTCCCACTGTTCACAGTATGGAGCCAGGGAACACCCCTATGCCAGTCCCAGCTGTCTGGCTGGGGTGATGCTTTCAGCTGGCTGTCAGATGACCAGCAGTGTCCACACTTGTGCATCTCCAGGTGCAGGTTCTGTGTGTGTGTGTGTGTGTGTGTGTGTGTGTGTAAGTGTAACCAGGGATTGAACTCAGGCCCTTGTGCTTGCCAGGGAAGCACTTACTCTACTGAGCCATCTCCCCAGCCTAGGTGCAGGTTCTTACAGTCCCCCTTAGGTTCTTCTCCAGGGTCTCTTGGGCTTGTACTAATTTTATTACCAGTTTGTATCTGAATCCCTTTGGGGAGTGAACAGTTCTGCTTTTCTCTTTGGGGCTGGGGGACAGAACCCATTCTAAGTACATGCTGTGCTACTAAGCTGCACTCTTTGTATTAGCTGTCCCATTGCTGGAACAAAGTACTTGATGTGCAGAGGAAGGGGAGGCTGGGCATTCACTCTGTGGTCAGCTGGCAGAGACAGCGTGCTGGAAGGGTCTGATGGAGGAAGCTGTTCAGCTCTGACAGCCAGGAGGCAGGGAAGGGAGGAGCTGGGACTGGATAGGGTGGTAGCAAACCTTCGGCATGCGGCAGCAGGCTGTTCATTACCATTGAGAGCTCACATAGGCTCACTTTCCTAGACCATACCACTTTCTAAGTCATGTCCCAGTGCCCCAGGTCCAGTCACCATCCCCAGCCTGACCTCTAGACACCAGAGACTTGGGGGACATTCTAGATTTAAGTCTTTTTTTTTTTTTTTTTTTTTTTGCAGTACCAGGGATTGAACTCAGGACCCTGCACTTGCCAGACAAGCGCTTATTCTGCTGTGCCATCTCCCCGGCCCTAGACTTAAGTCTTAACCCCTCCAAAACTAAGAATTTCATAAATTTTAGTAATGGTACTGGGGAGCATTATCATTATTTCAATACCAGTAGCTTTATAAAAATTTTGATCTTTAATTCTGCATTTTATAGTTACAGGCGGAGAAACATAATTGCCTTGTTCAAGATCTACAGCTCTGAAGCCAGCCTCCACTATATAGCAGGACTGTGTCACACAAAAACCAAACAACTAAAAAAGGATCCATAGCTCATTACAGTTTATAATGTCGGGTGGTGTTTTGCTTTCACTTTACAGTGATGAAATGAATTTCATATACAATTTCCTGTTGTGTGTATGCAAGAGCTTTGTTCAGTTTATATACATCTAGAAGCAAAGTGTTTTTTTAAAGGTATGTGTTTGATCAGCTTTATGCGTATTTTGTTTTGAGACAGGTTCTCACTGTGTAGTTCAGGCTGACCTTGAACTCACTATGTAGCCCAGGCTGGCCTCAGGCTTGTGGCGATCCTGTCTCAGCCCTCCCAGTGCTGAGACTGCAGGCATGCACCACCATGCCCAGCTTATGAGTTTTATAAGATGAAGTGACATTATTTTCCAGATGTTTGTGTCAGTTTACAGTATGACCTCTCACTTGGTATTATGAGACCTAATTCTTGCCTATAGGTGTTAAATGCTATTGTGAGTTTATTTTATGTTTTCCTGATGGTCGAGCCTGTTTTCCTGTTTCATCATTCCTATCTCTGTGAAATGCATTTCAGGGGGCTGTGGCAGGACGGGAGCCCTGGGCCAAGCGCACCACTACCCAGCTGTGCTCTCAGCACCCTGGGGGCTACTTCCTGCCTTCCGTCTTCTTTCTCCTTATTCATTTAGGACTTGTTGACAGCATTAAGGAGCTAATCTTGTCTGTTGTTCTTCACATGCCTTTTTTGTTGTGGGCATATCCTTTCACTTTGGTTTTTCTGTAAATAGTATTTCTAAGTGTCTTTTTGTGTCTTAAGAAAGTTTGTTCTATTCTTTGTTGTTTACCATGCTCACAACAGGGTCCTAATTCATGTGTCTCACTGCCAGGCAGCTTGAACCAAGACTGTCCTGTGAGTGACTGTGCCGAAGCCACCTGCCAGAATAGTCGGAATAGTCGTGGGTAGCCACTGGTGGGGCAAGCTGGCGGGACAAGCTGGTGGGACAGGGCAGCCGCCTGCTAACTCTCCTTCCTCTAGGATCCTTTTCTCTTCCTGGTTAGGTCTGGTTGTGGCATTCTGTGCATTGGTTCTTCCAGCATACCTTGTGATTCTATTTGTGATGTATCTTTTGTTGAAAATTTCAGCCATGGAGTCTGAATATTCTATTTTACTTTTGTTTTTTTAAACTGCTTTATTGTTTACTGATTTTATCTTCAGTTTGGTGTAATCTGTTGCTGACTCATTGAATTTTCTGGGCCTGTAACCATGTTTGTCATTTCCAAAAGTCCTGTTTTATTCTAGTAGATGTAGCTGGTTATTTGTGATGAATTTTTACTGGTTTCTATTTTTCTTTGGACATTTAATACATAGTGTTCTCTCCTATAGCTGATAATTCCAATATTTAAAGTCTTTGAGGGCCTAAGTTTGTCTCTGCTAAACTTAGTACATGTCATTCCCATGCGGGTGATTTTTGCTACATAGGCAAAAATCGACTGTGTGTGGTCTCCAGAGGTTCTAGTTGGGAGCATGCCCATTCAGATCATTCAGAAGAACCGCACATGTGCTTCTGTGGCCAGGGACCAGCTGGTGTGGCCGGTGTGCTCCGTGGGCTCCTCCCTTGCTCTGGGTGTGGAGCTTG